TATTTGAAAATCAAGGAACCTAGAATAGGCAAGTTGGTCTTGAAGAAGCAATAACTTGGAGGACTTACTCTGCTAGATTTCAAACCTGATTTTAAAGCTATAGTAATTTTAAAATGGTAGTTTGGTGTACGTATCCATAAATACATCAAAGTAAAAGAATACAGATTCAAACAATATGCCCACATATGTACAGTTATTTAATTTTTTTAGTAGAATCTTTTTTATTCATTAAAAAAACTCAAAACCCCCAAATGAAAAAGTTTTCCAACCACACACAGGAAGGGTATGGGTACAGGGGGTGTCTGTCCCTCTAGTCCTGGCCCCCAGCCCATGTGGTTTTGGCAGCAATAAGGGGTGTGGGGTAATGGCCCCCAGAATTAAAATGTTGTATGTGTGTATGAGAAGGAAAGTGGGGCAAAGCTGTGGGAAGCGGTGGAGGGGAAGGAACAAAGGAGGTCAGTACTGGGAACACTGAAGGTGGGAGGCCATTTCATAACACTGCTTGTTGGTGAAACTGCCATGGACACTTTCTTGGCCTATCAGCATGTCTAGCGTCTTGGCAGTCATGGTGACAATGGCATTGAAGGTGGGGGCTCCACTGATGCTCTTCATATGAAGATCCACGGTCAATTCCCCATCCTGCAGCAGTGAGTCTGGGACCACAGTACATTTCTGGCCCCCCAGTGTCAGCCCATTCATGAACAAGCTTGACCAGTCTTTGCCAACCAGGACACCAACCTCAGCTGGGGTGATGTTGATGAAAGTTTTCCCTGGGACGGCGGCCCAGACAGAGGGCGAGTCCTTGTAGCCCACGATGGCCACGTCCTAACAGGTCCCGTCCGCCACCAGGCTGTAGATAGAGGCATCCACCCGGCCATTGCGCTGCTGCTGGCGGGCGCGAGAGGCAGATAGCTCAGGGCAGGCGTTGCCGTCCTGACCAAGGCACTGGCACTGCCAGAGACACCAACGCCCTTCATTGGGGAAATGAAAGACTTTTAAGTAAAACGTTTTTGAGTGAAATAATATTTGTTGTTTTAAAAAGTTAATATTAACAACCACTCTCCACCATACACTGAAATTAACTTGCGGTATGAAAGTTAAAATGAGAAACCTTGTGAAGGAAAAACAGGAAATAGTTTCATGAACGTGACATACGAAAATATTTCTTAGATGAGATACTGTAGCACTCACCATAGTAAGCAATCAAGTGAATTGCACTTCATTTTTAAAAACTTTCTGCTTATTATGTTTTGTTTAACAACTTAAAAGCTATCTGTAGACCAGAAATAATTATTTGCTATATAATATCAAAAAATGTATATATAAATGGACTCATTCAACATATATAAAGAACTCCTCGGCCGGGCGCGGTGGCTTAAGCCTGTAATCCCAGCACTTTGGGAGGCCGAGACGGG